ATACCCAACTTTATTCCCATGGTGGCAGGTCAATCACTAGAATCCTGTCCACTCAGAGCGAGTCTGCATGCACGAAGCTGGTCTCTGCCTCTGGGCCTCTTTGCCACCGCAGCCATCTCAGTCTCTGTCTTTGGAGATGTCACCACTACAGTCTCATCTCTGCTCTCCTGGAGCTTTGCAGCCATGCCACCATGTCTCCCAGAGCACTGGGCGGAGTTCTTTATATAGAGTCAATAACAACATACTGCCTACACGTGTGTAGTGAGCTAGCCAGCAAGGGCCAGGTGAGAATCCTGGCCACAGGAACCTTCACTTTATCCACATGCCACTCCATCTTAACAACAAGTAAAAAGCTGAACAAACTCAAATAGCACCAACTCTTCTTAGATCCATCAAAGAATTGAGGTCACAGGGCAAACCACTGCTGCCCAAATTGGAGAGACAGGTGAATATAGAGAACTACAACTTAACAGCAGCAGGAACGCATGAGCAGAAATCTAGGGAATCAGTGTCAGAGTAGGAAAACCCAAATCATAATTGACAAATTGCTGAAGGCTCAGTGTGGACATATCTGAGGGTTTAAAAATTCTAGGGGGACCCAGTCATAGGGAGGTCCCTACATTTTTGTGACTGTTACCTCTATGAGTTCTACTAGGTCATCACAATTAATATTAGAGAAAAATTCCCCTATGTTTCTGGCAGGGGAATGGGAAAAGGTGCCATTTTGAAATACACTGGAGTATTTTGTTCTTGATAAGGCCTGCCCTCAGAAGAACTATTATAGTTTCCTATATTCCTATATATTTTATAGTTATAGTTTCCTATACAGCCAAACCTGTTGGGGTTTTATCAGAGCCCAAATCACATAGGGGGAAGGGAATTACACAACTTCAGCTCCCTCTAGCCTTCTTCTCCAGGGGAAAAGGGAATACCCAACTTCAGGACCCTTTAAAATGGATGAAGAGAGAAGACTCAACTATATGTTGTCTACAAGAAATCAGTTTTAAATATAAGGACATAGATAGATTAAAAATAAATGGATGGAGAAAAATGAACCATGCTTACACTAACCAAAATAAAGTAGGAGTAACTATATTTAGACAGAGCTGACTTTGAAGCAAGGGAAGTTATCAAGGATAGAAAAGGGCATTATGTAATGATAGAGGCATTAATTATCTAAGACAACAAATCTTATTGCCTAACAATAGGGTATCAAACTATATGAGGCAAAAACTAATAGAAGTGCAAAGGGAAATAGACACACTTAAACATAATTAACTGATTTTTGACAAAGAGCAAAGGCAATACAATGGAGCAAAGATAGTATTTTCAACAAATGGTGCTGCAGCAACTGGACATCAACATGCAAAAAAAATCTGGATGCAAACCTACACCCTTCACAAAAATAACTCAGAATGGACCATAGACCTAAGTACAAAAGAAATGAACAAAATAATAAAGTCCTTAGAAGATAACGGAAAACCTAGATGATAATGGTTATGGTGAAGACTTTTTATATACAACACAAAAGACACAGCCCATGAAAAAACAATTGACAAGATGGACTTCATTAAAGTTAAAAACTTCTCTGCAATAATCTCAAGAGAATGAGAAGACAAACCACAGACTAGGAGAACATATGTGCAAAACACATATCTGCTAAAAGACTTTTACACAAATTGAAGAACTCTTTAACATTTAACAATAGGAAAATAAACCACATGATTAAAAATGGGCAAAACACATGAATAGACACCACACCAATGAAGATATATAGATGAGAAGTAAGCATATGAAAAGATGTCCAACATTATATGTCACTAAGGAATTGCAAATTAAAACAGTAACTATACACACATATCAGAATGGCCAAAATGTGGAAGACTGACAACAGAAAATGCTGGCAAGAATGTGAAGCAACAGGAACTCTCATTTATTCTTGGTTGGAATGAAAAATAATATAGATACTTTAGTAGACAGTTTGGCAATTTCCTGCAAAACTAAACATACTCTTACCATACGATCCAGCAATCATGCTCATTACCATTTATATTAAGGAGCTGAAAATTTATGTCTACACAAAAATATGCACATGGATGTTTATAGCAGCTTTATTCACAATTGCCCAAAATTAGAAGCAACCAAGATGTCCCTCACTAAGTAAATGAGTAAGGAAACTGTAATACATCCATACAATGGACTATTATTCAACACTAAAAAGAAGAGCTATCAAGCCATGAAAAGCCATGGAAGAAATTTAAGTGCATATTACTAAATGAAAGAAGCCGATCTCAAAAGGTTACACACTGTGTGATTGCAACTATGTGACATTTTGGAAAAGACAAAAACTATGAAGATAGTAAAAAGTTCAGTGGTTGCAAGAGATTTGGGGGAGGGATGAATAGGCACAGAAGAAATTTAGGGTTGTGACACTGTTCTGCGTAAAGTGGATGGATACATGTCATTACATATTTGTCAAAATCCATAGAATCGTAATACCAAGAGTGAATCCTAATGTCAACTGTGGACTTTGGGTGATAATGATGTATCAGTGTAGGTTCATCAATTATAATAAATGTACAATTGTGGTGGGGGATATTGATAGTGGGGAAGGTTTTATGTGTGTAGGGACAGGGAGTATATGGAAATTCTCTGTACTTCCAGCTCAGTTTTGCTGTAACCTACAACTGCTCTAAAAAATAAAGCTTATTAATTAATAAAATTAAGAAAATTTAAAGAAAAACAAAACACTTACCTCTGCAGGACTATTGCCTTTATAACCAACCTGCCTGTAGGGAAAATGGAAGAGCCAATGGCCAGGATCCTCACCTGACCCTAATTTACTTGCCCACTGCTCATGTGCTTGCACATTTCTTGGCAATGAGCCATTGCTATGTTGCTGTACAAAGAGCTCCACCCAGTGCAAAGAAGGCGTGAGGCCAAGGCAAAGATGGATTGCAGAGACTTGCTGGCTGCATATGATTCTAGTGCTCCACCTGACATCATGAGAATAAAGCCCCAAAGGTTCTGCTGTTGTTATTCCATCTCACTGGATCCAGAGTGAACTTGTTGGGAGCTGAACTCTCCCTCCCCCACAGCGAGACACTGCCTCAAAGGCTTTTTAAGATTTAAAAAATATTAAAAAAGTGTTACAATGAAAAGAAATATAATAGTAGGAGATTTGGGAAAGTCTGCTTATTTGATATTAAAATATGAGTGATGAATGAAACATATTAGTGAAAAAGGAATTATAATAACTTTATCTTGACTGGTTAAAGAACAGGGGACATGAAAACACACGTTAAAAACCACTATTTTCTGATTCTTAAAATCAAATTAAAAAAACAGTGCCCAAACAATTTTCCCAAGGCAGGAATTTGGCAATTTTTTTTGTTGGCTCCAAGAGAAAAATGGCATACTAGAAGGAAAAAAGTTTAGTATACTATGTTTACTATTCTGTTTATACAATAAAGAAACCTACTATATAAGTATCTGGCTTATTTTTCTTAATATGGTGGTGTTTATTGAATTCCCACACAAATGAGTCAGCCTTTTTCTTTCTCTAAAAAAATAACAAGACTCAGAGCTCCTGTTTTGGACCACCTAGGACTTTTATATAATTTGTGAAACAATTTTCTTTATATTACTTCTGAGTCATGGCTTCAAAGTGCTCACTTTTCAGATCAATCAGATAGCTAAGAAATTACTTAGCTAATTTACTTGGCTAATTTGGTAGGTTTTAATAAGACCCAGATTATTTGGGTATTCAAGGCTTTTTGTGAGGGGACAGTTGTTCTGAATTAGCAACTAGCTGCTTTTTAAAAAAATAGTTCACTATTTTCATTAACAAAATAAATTTAAACCCTTGGCATCCTCATTATGCCTCTTTTCTGAAACTCTTTCAAGAAATCATAACTTGAATTCCAATAAAGAATTTTAGGAGTTTCCTTCTTGTTAAGTATTTCCAATTAAATACAAGGACAACACAGGTGGTATTATAATAACTTAATAAGCATTTTCAAAATGCAGTGGTAGGTTACTGTCTTCAAAGGTTATCAAAATTAAGAGATAATGGCAAAAAATTAGGCAGCATGTCCTATGTTATTTCTTTAAGCCTAGTGTTTATTTTTCTGAATTAGCTGTTTGACGTTCTTGACTTTAACAAAGTACTAGAAATGTAAAGCAAAGTAATGTTTTATGTATCTATTTCAGCCTAAGAAGACCGACACTGCCTCTTAAAACTCTTTAATTTCTTCCCAATTGGCTGTTCTTTCCACTTTGTCTCTAGGAGTCGCATGTCCTTTTTTTCTTCTATTTCCTCCTTTTTTTCTTGAGTTTGATATCAGACAGCAATCCAATGGTTCTCCACAATCTTTTACCATTCTTTCTCCACCTCGCATCAGCAAATTTAGGAATGCCTAACCACTGCTTTGCAAAAGTAAAAACGCGAGAGCTTGCCTACATGTTTGGTAACAAAGCATTCTTATAAACTACAAATTCGAATCCCTTCTATTTCTCTTTCCAGTCCACCCTTCTTCCAGCAAAACAACGTCACATCTAATAATCTGCCCTCCCACCTCCCACCTCCCACCTCATTTCTCCAACCTGCGGCCTTATTTTTATTGCCTGCCCACTGAACCCAAGTTCCTATTCCTAGGCCTTCCCTTTCCCAAGGGAAACAATAACCACTTGTTTTTCAGGATTTTAGACACCAGGATCCGTTTTCTGCCTCCTCATCGCACCTGCAGCCTCCCGTGCTTCCCCAGGGGTACAGGACCTCCAACCGCAGCCACTTTCTCCCCCAGGCGCCACTTCCGGATCTCCGGTGTCTCCACTTTACCGGTCCGCCCACCACCGGGCACTTCCTCGAGCTTTGTCTTAACCACTGGCGGGGTCGAAGCGGCGACGCTAGGCTACCCGAGCCTGAGAAGTCTCCTGCTAGAGGACGCGGAATGCCTTCTCCAGCCTGAAGACTCCAGTCCTGCTGCGGAGGCGAGTGGCGGCGGTGGAGGAACAGTTTGTTCTGAGCACCGAATGGGGCATACCCGGAAGTGGCGCCTTACAGGAGCCGCGCCGGCGCCGGGGCCGGGTGGCAGTACCGGGAGGTGAAGGGGACGCTACTGTACTGCATGGCGTGAGTGTCAGGCGAGGATGGAGTAGGGCGAGGGGCGTGAGTCCGCCAGATTCCAGCTCCGTTCTCCAGTGGTAGATTGGGCTCGGTTGCGAAGAGCAAGGGCCTCGTGGGGCGGCAGGGCCACTGAAGGGGTGCTGCGGACGAAGGGGAGTCCAACTCGCTACATTCTCCCACTCCAGGGCACCCGCTGTCCTTAGATTACCACCTGTTCCTCCCCCTATCGGCCTGCCAAATTGAGAGGGGTTGTGGTAGTGAGAAAGTCGCAGCTGGAGCAGAGCAGTCCACTTGAGGTTTCCCTGCTTCTGGGAGGAGGCAAGCGGCAGCTTTGGTGGGGGCTGTTGTTTTTCAGCCTCTTCAGTCCCTGAGAAATGCTTTTTCTTTCGCGGCACCTCCGACTCAATTACTTCTAATGTTTCTGTCTTTACCCCCTTCAGCTTCTTTGACTCCACGGCACCCTAAAAGATGCTGGAGTCGTATGTGACTCCAATTTTAATGAGCTATGTGAATCGCTACATCAAGAATTTGAAGCCATCAGATCTACAGCTTTCACTATGGGGCGGAGACGTGGTTCTCAGCAAGCTCGAGTTAAAGTTGGATGTGCTGGAACAGGTAAGCTGTGTAGCTGTCACTGACTGGAAACATTTTCAACTTCTTTAGGAATAATTCAGTGTTTCCTACACTTTGACATAATGCTTTAAAACTTGATTTTTCTGTCTACATATTTTTGGCTGTGCTGAAACTAGAGACTTACCTTTAGAGTAATTTTTTTATGGGTTGATAGACCTGGATTTCCAAAAGTTGCCTCAGTAGATAGAGGTAAACAATTTTATTGCACTTGTCAGAGTACTCAATTCTCAAGCATTATCGAATAAACTAATTTGCATTGCTAAGGTTCTGTTTGAAGTTGGAAAATATTACATTCTCGTTCTCCTTTTTGGGGAATGGATGGGTCCGAAAAACAACAAGGTAAGATCTTGAAGAAAGTTTTTTCTCTTAGTAGGAAAGAGACATTACCATGGCATCCTCACAGTATTGAATAGACACAGATTGTGAATGCTAGTAAAGTTGAAAACTTCTTTCGTAATCACTGTTTTTAGTTTCTTTTAACATGAGGATGGTTGATGCAAATGAACTGTAACTTCATAGATCAGATACTTATTCATTCATTTAGTGTATTTATTATTAACATATGCCAGGCAACTATTGGACAAGAGGGTAGAAAAATTCTTTGAAACTCAGAAGAGTCAGAGACCAACTTCCTTTTGGGTTGGAAAACTTAATCTGATGGTGATGATTATCTATGATTTTTATATTTCACAGTTCATTATTGAAAAATCTGGAGTTAATTTTGGTTCCTTCTCCTTCCTCTCTCCAAGTCTAGTTATCTTAATATTTTCATTAAAAAAATGAGCACATATCTTAACTACACAGCTCAATGTTTACATATGTATACACCTGTATACCACTATGCAGATCAAGAAATAAATATTTCTTCCACTCCAAGTGGCTCCTCTATGCCCCTTTGTAATTAGTAGCTGCACCCTTAAAACAGGTGACTGATATTCTGACTTAGATCAACACAGATTAGCTTCAAAAATAGGTGAAACTTCACTAAATTGGAATCACTTGTGTCTTGGTTCATTTGTTTAACTTTATGGATAACATTAAGCCATGTTGCAGGAGTGGTAGTTCTTTATATATTTGTAGTATTTCATTGTATAAAGACTCACAATTTATACTTATTTTCCTGTTGATGTACATTTGGGTTGTTTCTACTTTTGGCTATTATGAAGAGTGATCTTATGAACATTTTGTCCATATATTTTGGTGGACATAGGTATTAATTTCCCTTAGATGTATACCTAGGAGAGATAGGCATATGTTTACTTTTAATGGATACTGCCAAATAGTTGTATCAATTTAGAGCTCACCAACAATGCGTTGAGTTTCAGTGACTTCACCTTTCTGCTATTACTTGATGTATATATTTTTTCATTTTAGCCTTTCTGGTGGGTATATAGTGGTATTTCATTTTAATTTAAATTTGTATTTCCCTAATGACTAATGATGAGCACTTTTTCATATACTGCTTGAGGACTATTTGGATATTCACTTTTAAAATTTCTAATTCTTTGGCTTTTTTTGTAAAATTGGGTTTTCCATCTTTTTCATAGGGGTGGTTCTTTATATATATATTGAAAATGAGTTCTTTGCCAGACAGATCTGTTTTGCAGTATTTTCTCCTAGTGTGTGGCTTGTCTTTTTATTTTTTTAAAGATATCATTTAATGAGCAGAAGTTCATAATTTTATGGAGGTCTAATTTTCTCAGTCTTTTCCTTTATGGTTAATACTTTTCATATCTTGTTTAAGAAGTTTATGCTTGTGCCAACGTCATGATGAAACTTTTTTTCTTTTAGAAGCTTCATTGTATTCTGTGATTTATCTAAAATTAGTTTTTCTTCACGTGTGAAGTAGAGGTTGATATTCATTTTTTTCCATTGATATTCAGTTAAGTGTCATTTGTGGAAATATTCTTTCCCTACTGAATTGCAGTAAATCTTTGTTGTAAATCGGGTGTCACGTGTGTGGATGTATATCTGAACTCCTTGTCTGTTCAGTGATACATTTGTCTGTTCTGTGTCACTACCATATTGTCTTTCACATCTTACGATCTAATTTGTACTACTTGGTTCTTTTATCCTTCAAGATTGTCTTTAACTATTGTAGGTCCTTTGTATTTCCATTTCCATTTTAATTAGCTTGTAAATTTTGTAACTTCCCATAAAAGGAAATCCGTTGATGTTTTTATTAAGGTTACACTGAATATAATAGATTAATTTGGGAGGAATTAACATATTAACATATATTGTGTTGACAAAGTATTGAGTTTTTGAATCTACACGACATTGCTTTCTGTATTTTTACATCTTTAATTTTTCTCAGGAATGATTATGAAGTTTTCAGAGGTTTTGCACATATTTCATTACATTTTATCTTTTTTTTGATGTTATAGGCAACATTATTTATTTTTTAAATTTCATTCTCTAATGGTTTGTTACCAGTACAAAGATAGTTGATTTTAGTATATTAAACTTATATCAAGTGGCTTTTCTAACTTGTCTAATACCTTTTGGTGGGTTCTTTTGGATTGTCTGTATACACAGTCATGTCATCTACAACTAATGACAGTTTTACATATTTTTTTCTAGTGCTTGGACTTTTTATTTCTTTTTCTTTCATTATTGCACTGCAGAGTAGAGATAATGAGAGTACACCATTCTTTTTTCCCAAGTAAAGTGGAAAGCATTCAGTATTTTACTAAATGTGTTAGCTGTTAATACTCTTTATTGGGCTAAGAAAACTTTGTATTATATTCCTGCTTTTCCAACAAGTTTTTAAAATCTTAAATGGGTATTGAATTTTATCAAATATCACATTTACGGAGTGGATTTGATTTTTCTCTTTCATTTTGTTAATGTGGTGAATTACATTAATTGAGTTTTCAGATGAAGTTTGCATTTGTGGAATAAACCATACTTATTAAACCATACATATCCTTTTTATATGTGGTTAGAATTGATTTGGTAAATTTTTCTTTAGTGTTGTTGCATGTATGTTTATAGGTGATACTGGCCTGTGATTTTTTCTTTCCTTGTCATGTCCTTATCAGGTTTTGATTATCATAGATACGTTGGCCTCATTAAATAATTTGTGAACTTCCTCTTTTGTAATCTGAGTTTGTATAAGATTGGTATTAATAGTTTTGTTCTTTTTGTTATGGTAAAATAGAAAAAAAACATAAAACTTACCATTTTAGGCATTTTTGATTGTGCAATTCTGTGGCATTGCTTACATTTACATTGTTCTGCAGCCATCACCACCATCCATCTCTGGAATGTTTTCAGTTTCCCAAACTGAATCTCTCTGCATTAAGCATTAACTCCCATTCTCTCCTTTTAGCTCCTGGCAACCACCACTCTGTTTTATGTTTTTATGAATTTGACTACTCATATAAGTGGAAATAAATGACATTTATCTTTTGTGACTGGCTTATTTCACTTAGCACAGTGAAATAAGCTTCAGGCTTCATGTTGTGGCATGTGTCAGAATTTCCTTCCTTTTTAAGGCTGAATAATATTCCATTGTGTGTCTGTAACGTTTTTCTTACCCATTCATACATCAATGCACATTTGGGTTGCTTCCACTTTTTGGCTGTTATGAATACTGCTGTGAACAGGGGTGTATAAATATCTGTTTGAGTTCCTGCTTTTAGTTCTTTTGGGTACATACCCAAAAGTGGAATTGTGTAGTAATTCTGTGTTTAATACTTTGAGTAATTGTCATACTGTATTCCAGAGCAGGTGTACAATTTGTATTCCTACCAGCAGTGCACATAGATTCCAATTGTTTCTTGTCCTCACCAAAATTATTGTCTGTCTTTTGATTATAGTTATCCTAATGTGTGTGATGTGGTATCATCTCATTGTGGTTTTAATTTTAATTTTCCTAATGATTAGTGACATGTTGAACATCTTTTCATGTGCTTTTTGGCCATTTGTATATCTTTGAAGAAGTATCTATTCAAGTCCTTGCCTATTAAAAATTTTTTTTTGTTATTGAGTTGTAGGAATTACTTACAAATTCTGGATATCAATCCCTTAGATACATGATCTGCAAATATTTTCTCGTGGGTTGCCTTTGACTCTGTTGATAGTATCCTTTGAAAGGAAGTTTTAAATTTTGATAAAGTCTACCTTAACCAATATTTTCTTTTGATGCCTGGGCTTTTGGTGTTATACTCAAGAAATCATTGTCAAATCTAATGTCATGAAGCTTTTCCTCTTTTTTGTCTTAGAGTTTTAAAGTTTTAGCTCTTACATTTAGGTCTTTAATCTCTTTTGAGTTAATTTTTGTATGTGGTATAAGGTTTGTTTTTGCTTGTTTGTTTTTGCATGTGGATGTCCAGTTTTCCCAAGACCATTTGCTGAAGACAGTCCTTTTCTCATTGAACAGCCTTGGCACCCTTCTTGAAAATCAAATGGCCATAAATATGAGGGTTTATGTATGGGCTCTCAATACAGTTCCTTTGGTCTGTATGTTTGTCTTTATGTCAGTATCACATTGTTTTGATTACCATAACTTTGTAGTAAGTTTTGAAGTCAGGAAATGTGAGATTTCCAACTTTCATTTAATGTTAGAAAAAATTAATCATGAAGTCATGTGAGTTACGAGTTTTATTTAAGTGTAAAGTTTTAAATTACTGATTTAATTTTTTTAAACAGATACAGGACTATTTTGATTTTCTTTCTCCTTTTGTTTTGGTTAGTAGTGTTTTTCAAGGCCTTTCTTCGTTTCCTTAAAATCAAGGATCAGCAAACAATAGTCTGGGCCTACTTTTGTAAATTTTTTTTGGAGCACAGTTATTCTCATTTGTTTACGTATTGTCTTGTGGCTGTGGCTGTATCTTGTGACTGCAAAAGCAAATTGAAAAGGCAGAGTTGAGTAGCTGGGACTGAAGTTGCATGGCTTGCCAAAGCCTAAAATAATTTGCTTTCTGGCCCTTACTAAAAAAGTGTGCCTGCCCCCGCTCAAAATTGCCATACTTAAG